AATAATTGCAATAAAGGTATTAACAAGGATTATTGCTGAAGTTTATCATTTACTCAATATCATTAAGGTTTCAATTGTAACTGGAAATTGTTGTTATCAGATAAAACTAGGGTTTGATCTTAAAAAATGTCGCTTAGAATCTGACGAAGTTAATTCACATGTTACTGGAGTTCCACTTGTGACTGAAGTTCGTTGATGGATATGTATTTTCTTTCTTTTAGCTTTAGCTCCTTCAAATTTCAGCTCCTTCAAACTCGACGAGTTTTCTGTTCAGGCTGATGGTCAACAGGAATGGCTTTGATTAAAAGCCGATTAATTTGGCAATGTGGCCAAATTCGTTTCTTCTCAGAGATGCCTAAAATACAGAAATTAACTAGGTATTCGGACTTATCTCTCTTCACACCAGGTTATTTTTAATCTGTTTTATTGTTTTTTTAATGTCTTTATCAACTACGTCGAACTTTTCTTTTATGGAGTATCCACTGAGTTATTTACAGAAAAAATTCGTAACTTTTGTATCGTTGCACATGTGGACCATGGTAAAAGCACATTAGCAGATCGAATACTGGAGTTAACAGGGGTTATAAATCCAGGCCACGAAGACCAGGTTCTTGATAAGCTTCAGGTAAACAAGCAGTTGTCGCCTCGGTGCCACTTCGACTCAAAAAGAAATTTTTTTACATCATGTTTTTTCTTTTAGTCTTTCTTCGTAAAAATTATGTCAATTTCAGGTCGAACGTGAACGTGGTATTACAGTGAAAGCACAAACGTGTTCTATGATTTACAAAGTAAATAACTTTTTTATTTTTGCCACAACTACTAATATATTTTACTTTTTAAAAGTTATTTTTTTTGCAAATATTCAGGATTATTTGTTGAACCTCATCGATACGCCAGGTCATGTTGATTTCAGCTTCGAAGTTTCCCGTTCATTATCGGCTTGTGATGGCGTTATTTTGCTGGTTGCTGCAAATCAGGTCCAGTAAAGGGATTTTTAGACTGATTAGTAATATAACTATATGAGCTGGTTTGGATGGCTGTACATGTAAGTTAGTTCTTATTTTCATTTATCAGAACAGGTAATTTATAATCATTTACTTTAGGGCGTGCAAGCACAAACTGTCGCGAACTTTTGGTTATCATTGGAGAGAAACTTGAATATATTACCTGTCATTAATAAAATTGACTTGAAAGGTGTTAATGTGGCTCAGGTTTGATTGTTAAAAGAAATCTTGAATTCTGGATGATTCAGACCTTTGCTGAATCAGTGTTATTTTAATGATAAACTGCTAATTCGCACTTAAATTTGTCAGATAACGAGGTGACTTCCAAAGTTTAGGTTGAGTCTCAGCTCTACAACTTATTTGGTTTCGAGAAGAACGAAATTATACATATTTCTGCAAAGAATGGAGATGGTGTTTCTTCTGTTTTAGAAGCGGTTTTGCAGAGGTGAGTTATTTTGTTTTTTTCCCTGAAAGTGTTTTCTTACCCATTGGAAAGTTACAGATTTTCTGCTCCTAAGGGTTCGCGTGAGAAATATTTTCAAAGTATGATTTTTGACTCTTGGTTTGACCGCTTTCGTGGTGCTATCGCCTGTGTCAAAGTTGAACAGGGAATATTAAAAAAGGGACAAAAAATCCGCTCTTTTCGAAACTGTAAAGACTATGAAGTTGCAGAAGTTGGAGTTATGCACCCAAATATGGTTCCTCTTGACGTTAGTCTTCATTTATTCATATTTCAAAAATACTATAATCTCACAAGATTGTTTTATTGTTTAATAATGGAGATTATAGACTCTGTATGCTGGTCAGGTGGGCTACGTTATAGCAAATATGAAGACCACTTTAGAAGCAGCAGCCGGAGAAATTTTATATGAACCTGCAATACCACCATCGACGATAATAGCTCCTGAATTCAAGCCGTGCAAACCCACTGTTTATGCTGGATTATTTCCAGTTGAAATTAGTGATTATGACCAGTTGAAGCAAGCTGTTGATCGTCTTTGTCTCAACGACCCCTCTGTTATTATTTCTCCTGCTGTTAGTCCCGTGTTGGGAATGGGATGGCGCGTTGGTTTTCTTGGACTTCTTCATATGGAGGTTTATCTTAAAGTTATTTCGTAATTTAACGAGCAATACTTAATGTACTGAAAACATTATCTAGTTTTAGATTTAGTGTGAGTAATATAAAAAAACTCATTTTTTGGTACAGTTAAGTTAACTTCAAGTTATAGTTTTCGAATCAGTTTTAGGAGAAAAGTATTTGTTTTCAGTCTTCATTTCTAGTATTTATGAAGGTTTAGGTATTTGGAGCACGTTTGAGTAACGAGTATGATGCAGAGGTCATTTTTACAGCTCCAAACATTGAATTTAAAGCCATAATTAAACAGAATGAAACTATTCGGAAGAAAAGGTTTTGTTACATTTATTCTGTATTGAATTTCTATAAAGTTGCTGGGTTTTCTCGTTTACACACTTTTAGTTTATTGTACTTTGGTGATTGAATATTTTGTGGTGATTTTTAGCTTTGGAAAATATTCAATGAAATTTAGATATGAGGGTAAATCGGAAATAGATATATCTGACCCGTCAAAATTTCCAAATCCAGCAGACGTTGAGAAGTTTTTGGAGCCCATGGCGAAGTTAAGGGTTATAATACCGACAGAGCACCTTGGTGTTGTGTGCAGACTGTGTTCTGAGGCGAGGGGTGTAAAGGGTGAGGTTACCTCACTGGATGAGTCACGACTGATGTTAGACTGGAGGTTACCTTTGGCTGAAATAGTAGTAGACTTTTTCGACCAGTTAAAGCAGGCTACAAGGTAGTTGATCAACTTTTATTGAATTCTGCGGTCTTGTATTAGGCCATTTCTGAATTAAACCTGTGCACTTGTTTTTAAAAAAATGCTGTTGCATTTCTAGTGGTTATGCCTCGTTTGATTATGAACACGATGGGTATGAAGAAACGAGTTTGACAAAGTTGTGTATATCGATCAACAATAAGGCTGTTGATGAATTTTCTCAAGTCTTACCGAACTCTATGGTGAAAGAAAGAGCAAAGTTTTTGGTTTTCAGACTTAAGAACGTAAGTGTCCGATTTACTTTCTGCTTGTTCTAATCGCTCTTTACCATGTAGTTTTAGAGATCTGAATTCCTTCTTATTTCTCTTATAATGTGTTTTCTGTATTACGTATCTCTGGCAGTAGTAGAACATCGTATTTGCAGGAAATACCAAGACAGCAATATGAAGTCGTAATCAAAGCTACTTGTGGTGATTCTACGAAACCTATAGTACAATCTAAAATTGCTGCGATGAAAAAGGATTTTACTGAGCTTCTAAAGGGTAATTTTGGAGGTAGGTTAGAGAAGTTAAAGTCTTGAAAATTTCGGACGTTGAGTTTGTATTCTATCTCACGATTAGATTTTTATTCTTCCTTCATTAAGTTCTTTTTAAAACAATTTACATTACCAATTTTGCTTTCTGATTATTATTTTACTTTTAAGTTGCTAATAATTTCATAAGCTACGTTTACTTCTTTACATAAAATACTTTTATGGAGAGATTATGGCTGAAGAACTTTTGCGTTTTTTTCTATTTAATGTACTCTGTAGGAAGTTACCCAGAATTGCTAAGGAAGTTGTAGTTCAAAAAATGATTTATATCTGTAATCTTTTGTTGTATTGTCAAAAAAAAAGTAAAAGTGGATGTCACGGCTGTTTCCCACGGTTTTAGATATTTGGAGGTTTCCTTTTGTAGGTGGTGGAATGGAACGATTAAAAAAGAAGCTATTACATCAGAAGGAAGGAAAAGCTCGACTAAAAAAGATCGGCAATGTTCAAATCCCAAAGGAAGCTTTTATTAACATTTTCAAGTCTTAATACTCCTTCAGTTTTTAGGGTAAATGTGAATTATCTCTTTCTACATTTTAATGGTTTCAAAAATTTGACTTGTTGTGATGGTGACTATAAGAGAATGATGTTTCACTTTTCCTTACAGAACTCACTTCTGTTAACATTTCTAATTTAATGCACTTTTTCGCTCAATATGTTATAGTTTATTATTTCTTCGTTTGAGATTGATTGAATTTAGTGTTTAGTAGCTTTTCATTACATTATTAATGCTTTATGCATTTGCAACGCTATTTGCATCTTCCAGTGTAAAATTACTTTTGGGTTACTCGCTTTCTTTTATAAATAATACTTATATTCTGGTCAAACGGGTTTGTAACCCTTTATAAATGAAAGGTAAAACGCGTCTTTTATACAGAAACCTTTCTCAAAAACTGTTGGATCTTATAATAACAAGTATTAGTCATAATTTAAACAAGCTTATCTGTTTGAGCAGTTGGGGATGAAGGATATAGATGGCTTTTTAAACATCAGAGTGATTCTTATTTGTTTTTCAGCAGGTGACTTCTTACAATTCAGCAAGCTCAAACTTCTGTTTACCACATTTATTCGTCTGGAAAGTAGTACAAAAGTAACTGTAAGGAAAGTTTGGAAAGCACTTTTGAAATGAATGCATCTTTGGGTCCTGTTATGGTCTTTTTTCTTTGAGATTAATCTTTTAATTAATTGAGCTGATGTTTAATTAGATGACCGCTTAATTCGAATTCTAACCTGTTTTCAAGTACCCTTTGTTCTCAGGTCTTCAAATTAATCACAAATATTTTTTATCAGAAATTTCAAACAGTGAAATGCGCTATAAGCCTTTCATGCCTTATAATTTAGAAACTCCTTTTTCACGGGAAGTCTTCGTGAAAAAAAGCAGAAACAGCTAGACTGTTACTTCTTTCTTCAGTTCCACTAGTAGCGGAACGAAAGAAATGTCCATGTTCATTTACATTTTGAGAAACGTTCAACGGAAGGAGATTAAATGAAGTTGTTGACCGAAATAATCTGTAAAGACTGGCTGTAAAAACGGCTATAGCAGTGCTGCTTGAAGTTTTTCATCCTTAACTTAAGACGGCCAAGTTTTACTGCTAGGTTTAGGACTACTGTAAGTTCGGTTGGCTGAGGTAGTGACGATCTGATTATTTTTACTGCCTTTACCTTCCAAGAGTTTAATGATTTACTGAGTCAACTGCTTGTGTCATGTCGCTCTCCAATACCTTTTCTACCCTCTTTATCCAGAAAAGCATGAGGTATTTTTTAAGCGAGATTTATACCATAAACTTCCATAATGCAGTTTTTGACAAAAGTTCAAAAGCCTCCATATATTGACGTCATGAGGGCAGTAGTGCTATTATGTATTACATAATTTTCTTGATGTCCGCTCCACTTCGTCAAGAAAGCTGAGAACGCAGTAGTCTACATCTGTAGTTCAGGTGGCACCAATTTATCATATTATTTCTTCTCATAGTCAAGCACATGCTGAATAGTTATCTCAAGCTTTTGAAGGAATTTTCCAGCTTTTTGTAGTTTGGTTTGAGATTGACAGTGTGATGGCTGCTAATCGTAAGGTGAAAAACATCTGCATGACGCAAACAGTTATATATCATGAAAATTCCAGCACCCATTTCTGTGAATGGTACAATTACAGTTCTCCGGTCAATAGGCAAATTTAATTTTTCTTACATAAAAGAGGAATCATTGAGTAATAACGAATAGAACACTGCTGTTGAAAAAAGTTGTCAAGAAGTAGAGACGGCTTTGAAAGTTACCGTATACTGTGGAAATTCTGCAGAATTTGAACAGAGATTCAAATGCATCTGCGGCTTTGACTATAGTGAGCGAGAAAGGAAAGAGGGCTTAGTAAATTATTATTTTATGGTAATTTCAATCTTTGAAGGATTGGTTGAAATATTTTGACTATTGGATCTGTTTTATAGTTCAAATTCGTTTTTAAGACTTCTGTAAAGTCCTTTGTTATAGGCAGTCCACGGTCAACCTAACTGGAGAAAACTTTGCTCTAGACATTGCTTTTGAAAGTACTACAGATGTCATTCGGTTAGGGGGTATGCCAATAACAAACATAACTGAATGTTATTGGTACTAAATCAATCCTGCTTTTGCAGAATGTCAATGTTAATCGACTGTAAAAATTTATGATATTGTTGTAAAAGATAATTATTTTTGTAATTCTTTTACAAATATGACTTTTTTTTTTCTGCTTTACTTGTCAAAGAGTACTTACAGCCTTCTCCGTAGATACAGAATTACTGAGTTTTTTCGTAATATAATTATTATGCATAAAGTTTTAAACAAAGGTCTTGGATAAACTATCATTAGATTTGAATGGAGTACTTATCTTTGCTCAGTAAATGCTTTTTTTTTGCTTTTTCCCCACCGTGTAGTTGTTTTTCTAATACAGTATGTAAACTGTAAAGTTTGATTTTTAACTTGTAGAGAATATAATTAAATACAGAATTTAACTGAGCTTAAATCCTCAGAATTATCTTTCGTGCACTTGCATTCAGTGCTTCATTTTTTTTTTTCGTTTTATTATCGGAAGTGAATTTTCAGCTAGTTATAAATTTTCTTTTTTTTTTTTCAATGTAAAATATCCTAAGCCATATAACACATAAATGTTTAATAAATGAAGAAAGAAGATAACAGCCAGCGTTTAAAAATACTTAAATTAGTTTGAGTAATAAACCCCTAAAATAAGTTAGACTAAATTTCTTTTTAATGAAGCTTTTTTTCATGCAAGGGCCACAAATCAGTGAGCATGCTTTCTAACTGCATTAACAGTTACTGATTGTTTTATCAATGAATTTAAATTCGCAGAAGTGATCTTGCAATATATGTGATTTTTGCAGGGGATCTGAAATTGTTCATTCGTTAGTCTTTTTAGCAATTTTAACTTGTTGGACTCCACTTGCTTTTTCAGTACAAACCCTGCTACCCCAGGAAGTATAGTACTATTTTACGTTATTGAAACAGAAGCTGATCTGAAACGGTCAATTTATCTGCTTAATTTAAAATTTCATTATCTTGGAACTGCAGGAATCAGGAATTGTAATAGGTTGGAAACAAATTCTGTTGAGAGATTTATGTAAAAAAACTGGCAGATGACTACAAAAAGTGTCAACGTCCTAATTCGACCAGCGTATTTGAACAGTGTATTCTCGAGGCACTTGAAAGTTCCTAAGAATCATCACGTATGAAATCATAGCACGTTACTTGAAGCATCAGCTCTAGAAGTTGGACTTGTTCCAGCAGGCGCGCATTTCCCTGCTGGTGAGGCCTTCGGCGATGAGGTTGGAACGAAACACCTGGTATTTATTTGCCGTCATAGATTATGTTGAAAAAAAAAAGTAGGCTACAGCTAAAATTTACTGTTGTGAAGGCATCCAAGAGATCCCAGGATTAAGTTAAGACCGGATAAAACGGTTTTATCATTATCAGGCGGAAATATTTTCAGCATTGGTCTGGTTTGATATGCGAATTTTTTTACTTCTCTGTGCTCTCTTTCTGATTTTTATAATACTTCTATTTGCGTTCAGATTAACGTTTGATATCTTCGTCCATTCATGATTTAAGTTGATCAGCAGAATCGTACCTGGATTCCTGTTTTATCGCGTTAGTAAATCTGATAGTGTGTTGGATTACAGGCAAGACCAGTCAGGTATGGTGCGACCTGAAGCGAAAGCGAATTTGAAGGATCTCGAGGGAACGGAAGAACAGGATGACGATTTTGAGAGTGCCGATGACGAAACTGCAGGGACTGTTATTCAAGCCGATATGAGATATTATAGGAAATTTTTAATTGCTAGAGGTTAGCTGCGTCGTTTAAATTTCTTGTAATCTGAATTGATTTAAAGCCGCTTCATCTAAATCGTCTTTTTTTTCCTGCATTTCCGATTTTATTCGGTTAGAACAATATTTTGTTGAACTCTAGTGGGATATTCAACTTGGTGTGACCAGTAAGCGATTACAGATAATTTCAATGAAAAAAAACTGTATATGCTACGTCATCCACATTCAAATACGGGCGTGATGTTTGCTATTGGCGACGACATTGTTGAAGAAGTCCTCAGATTTGAAGACCCCTATAGGTTAATCTATAGTGTATTAGCTGTAGACCTATTTGTGATTTTTGGTTTTCAGTTTTTAATCTACGCTTTTTTCTGAACGTTATAAATGTGCAGATCTTTCTTCTATGGTGATTCAGTGATAGAAGATGGTTCATTTACACTGTTATGCGAAATACATCCCATGTTTCTAGTTGTGCCATATCTACTTAAACACGCTCAGGTGGTTCCTCGCTAATTTTCGACATTCTTTTCATTAGTACATACATCATGCTCTCTGTCCGAATGATTTCAGGGGTGTTTCGTTCCGCTTGACCAAATTATTGTTGATGATGAATTCCCTGCTATCTTTATGCTTTTAGAGAATCCGAAGTTGCAGAAAGCATTGTATATTGCTTGTAACCATAAAAGTGTGGATTATATTCATTTTTTTTTTGTTTTTTTCACGGTTTCTTATTATATTCGTCACTTTATGCTTCTCTCGTAGTTTTATTTTTCAGTTGTTTATGAAAAGACAGTATGGCAGTATGATGAGCAGTTGTTATTAAAATGGTTAGAGCAGCGTTTCGAGAGGTTGAAAAAGTCACTTCTTGAAAATGCTTCGCTTCACAAAGCCATTCAAGAAGACGGTTTGTTTGTGTTATTTGTTATAAGATTTGATGGTTTCAGTTCGCATAGTATCAAGCGTGAAATTTTTAGACATTGTTTTGCGTCGTTATACCTATTCAGTGCTTTGTGACTATATACCTCAGAGCTTGTCATTGCCTCTTAAAACTTACCTTGACATTCAAGACCCAGATCCATTAAAAGAAAATCAAGTAAGTGGGGACAAACGAAAACTGGACGATTCTGGGGAAATCGAGTCATATTACGACCCAGCAGCAAAACAACGTGTATGAGTTTTTATTTATTAGTAACGGTTTTTACTTTACTGGTTTTTTTTAGGTGCAAGAGTTCGAGAATTTGGACTATAGGGAATTGGTTAAAGCGCTATTTGCGTAACCTGGTCGGGAATCTTCTGAAATTTTTGTTTTTATTTTTCAGAAGCCGGCAGCGTTGTCTACTGCTCAGAAAAAGCTAGCTGCGGCAAGTAAAGGCACGAAATCTCTTTTGAACTTTTTTGGAGGGAAGAAATGAAACTGAATACTCTTACTTCGTCGTGTTAAGACGTCTGGATTTACCAGCTATGGCCCTAATTTCTTCTGCGTGCTGTTTGTCGCAAAGTGTTTTATTATCTACGTGTGATTTATCTCTTTGTGTTTTACAGCTCTATGGAGCTTTGTAGAACTGTTTGTTTTCATGTATTTGACGCAGTTTTGAAACGTATTGATAAACTCTGTCTTATCGTTATGTTTCAAACACTGTTATCTTTTGGTAACTTGGCAGACCACTTCGTTTTGAAGTTTTAGTAAAAGAAATATTTTATTTTAAACGCTTTTTTTAGCTTGACTGCTTCAAAGGTACTTTCATTGAAATTGTAAATTTGTTTTGTACACTTGTTCTTGGTTTGGCTTATAGATTTTTTTGGGCGGAAAGGGACTTGTTCATTGCAAATGTTGCTCTAGTTCTATGAATTTAAAAGCTTTTAGGTAATCGTGCTTCAAAAACGAGGCATTAAGCTTTTTGTTGCCCTTATTGTTTATTCTTTCTATATTTTGAGACGCGGGGCTAGTTAAATTTGTTTGGCGATTTTGCATTTAGTTTACGTGTGGCGAATCTCAACCTACAGAGTAAGAAAGTCTATATTTTTAAAGCAGATGTGGACAGGAAATCCCATTCGGTTTGCTGCATCTCGGATACCACACGCTACGAGAGGGCTGAATGAACCAACGCCCTATGGAAAACGTATGGATCGGTTACGTCGGAGGATATTTAGTGAAGTTGTTACGCCTACTGATGTGAAAAGTATGAAAGTGGTTAGAGTTATGAGTGCAGAGCCACTGGAACAGCAAGATGATAAGAAGGTCAGGGGTGGTTTATTTGGCGTAACATATCTTTTTTTGGTGGTGTACACCGACCCAGCAAAATCATCTGATAGTTAGGGGAGAAGTCATGAAAGGGATAAAATAAAGTTTGTTTTTGTTGAGGCTACTTCTGCGGGAAAATTGCTGAAAAGCATTATGTTGAGTATTGGGAAGCCAAAGAAGCATCTTTAGTCTTTTTCATCCCAAACTTGCTCTTTTCAAGTTAGGATTTAATTATTATGAGGTGCTTCAAGGTGTTTTAACTTATCTGTATTATGTTATTTATTGTAGGTCACTTACTACCCTAATTTACCTATGTTCCATTACCTGTCTAAATTGCTTAGACTTCATGGTTTATTTTTCGATGACCACATTATTTGGCGACAGGTGCAGGTACGAGGTTGCTTTGGTTTTTAAAGGGATTTAGGTCCATAACTGTTCCAATCATGGTTTTTATTGTTTTAAAAGTCTCATTTGCAATAACTTTGCTAGTTACTAGATTTGCTTCGTCTAGTTCTTATGCGAAAATCTTAGTCACAAAAATTACGAGGTTGATATTTGAATTAACCCCGTGTTAAATGTAATGCTTTGCAGCAACAATTGAAAACTAATCGTGGCAAAATTGTTTGTCCTGTAATTGGTCAGGGTAAAAGAGCACAGATACGTGAAAGTAAAAAGTGACAATCTCCGATGGCTTGAATATAGTTGCAGTTTGCTCAGTATGGTCGAATTAGTCTATCTGTATAGATTTCCAGCGTGACTGTTTTTACTCTTGGTGAATTTTCGACTGTAACCAGTTGATGAGTTGTAGATAAGCATAGAAGGAAAAAGAAGCTTCTTAGTAACCATAAAAATTTAAAAGACGAGTGCTCATATTATAATGGAAAACCTTAAGGAAACGATGCAGCAATAATTTTATTAAACTTTTTACATGCATATTTCTTGGCTTTTAATACAGAAGATTGAACAGCTTTTGCAGTAGAAAGTTGGGTGCTTCTTGTTTCCGTAATTTTCTGGCTAGAAAGGTAGATTTAAAGTTTTGCGTTTTTTGATATTAGAGTTTGTTCTGTTTTGATGCAAAATACCTATCTCGGTTTGGAAATGTATTTTGTCATCATCACTTTTGCAGGTCGAAAATAAATCTTACTTTTTCCTTCAAAAATCCACCGGCTTTTCGATTTCTTCAATGGTGTTTTCCTATTTCAAATTGAGAGACAAATACTTCAGGTAGTAGGTCTATAGTTTTTGCTTCCTCTGCTACGCGGAACGCTATTTCCGCTTTAGTTCCTATGTTCTCAATTGTGAAAATAGTTGATTCCTTTACATCTTGCATTTTCTTGTGTAAAGCGTTTAGAACACTCGAAAGGAAGCACAGGAGTTTATTTGCTGTGTTTGCATGAACCTCTTCCATGTTGTGCTGTTGTATATCTTTTATGATACCTGAAAATACTTAAAAATAAATCTTTATGTTTAAACATGAGTAAAAGTATTACTGCTAGTAGTAGCTAATAATGGTTTTGGATTATTACTCCTGTTTGTAACTGGCTCTACAAAATACTTGCCAGCTACAAAGCTAGTAGTGTTTTTCACTTTCCAGTACAATTCGTTTTAAAATGACGAGAATAGAAAGTGTACCATCTTTATCGACGACACCAACAACTGCCTTTTGCGACCCGCTCAGGAAAGAAGGCAACCACCATTGTTCCTCAGAAACTTCAGGGCCTCTTTGCGTCACACACTGCACTTTCGTCATATCTTTAATTGCGGAATTTGTAATGCTTAAGCTGTGCTCTTCTTTTGGACAAGCTGAGCAAACATGATTGTTAAAAAATTACTTAGGCATCGGCACCCGGCTTCTGTAGCGTACAGGACTTTGAGTTTATCAATTTGCCGGATAAAAACTTCACATGAGAACCCCACTTCTTTTTTAGAAACCTCCGGCACCTAAATTTAAAGTTGCTCACAGATCGATCTGAACGGTTACTTAAGAAGGATAATACAAGTTTAATTCAGTGCTTTTTAGGAGAAATAGAAGGTTGAGCACACGTGATACAAGGTTTAATAATCACTAACAGGGACTGAACGTTCAGGACGGCGATCGATTTCTGGTACGCTTATGCAGTGAAGAAATATTTGGTTGAGGTCTCCATACTCGGGCTCCTGATCCGATCTTCGTTTTTCAGCGGCTGGTGGCCCGAGAAAGATAACCCCATTAAACTTACAAACGGAGAATTTCCAACTGTCTGTAGGTTTGACAGCCGTACGAGCAATCGTTTCTAGGACGTTAGCGTAACAAACATAACTAATGTCGCTTGCAGCCTGAAGATGAATTTTCCTATCACAGTATGACTTTCAGCGTTACTTCACACTTGACTATGAAGAAATTAATTAGATTTAGAAAAAAGGAAGTCGTAATTAGCTTACGAAAATTCAGTAAATACAGTCAAATGTTAGAGAGCGAGATACCAAAAAGAGAAACTAACTAAAGTGTATCGTGAAGAAGATGTTTTCAGTATCCACTGTAAAAGACTTGGCAAGGCATATGAGTTTTTTGGGATTTTGGCAACTGGTCCAACTGAGTGCTCAGAAAGGGTCAGATTTTTTTGGCCAAGCTTAATTTTTTCTCCGTCTAGAGTCCTTCGAACCGAAGTCCCTAGGTTTACTTCTCCGGTGTTCAAAATCTCATATTCTCCAATACTTATTGCAGGTGGGAACCTAACGTTTGTCTCTTCCTTTAAATCTGATAACCACTTAGTCGTATTGAAGAGGACGTTTTCCATCTTCAACGCACCTGCAAAAGTATTGGTTGAAGACTTCACAGTAAACGTCAGCTATAGGTCAGAACCTGTTCGGAATTTCAAACGTTACGTAGACGTCAAATTAAATGGATTAAAGGTCGTGCTAAACACCATTATTCCCTTTTCCCCGCTGTTCTTCTTCTGATAAGTTTTTAATGTAATGTTTATCTGAAGGCAGCATATCTGTGACTAACTGATTGTTCAAAAAAGTGCAACACTTACTGTCGAAAAGTCAAAATTACAGGCTGAAACAGCTGTTGCTGTTGGACTTCAGCAAAATGCTGTATTTATTGTAGCGAAGAACAAACTTGAAGCGTATAAAAAACAAGGAAAGCATTCACAAGAAGGCCACTGATAAACATTGAGCACAAATGGCACAGTGGTAGAACAAAACCACCAAAGGAACAGCAACAAAGCTGATACAAATGCCGTATGGCAATCTACCTACCAAACACTGTGGTTACAGGCGATGAAGAGCTGCTCTTTGTGTTGAAATACTTTTTTCTTTCTGAAACATTCCAGATGTTGAAATACTTTTTTGTTTCTGAAACATTCCAGAAAGCTTTTAGTGAGGCACACCTTGCGGGAAATAAGTTTTTTACAAGACGACGCGACGAAGTGTGAGATTGAAAACTTATTTTCGAGGATTTATATTTTTAAATTTTTCGTAAAGTGGAACTGGTTAAACGTTATACCTTTTTTTGGTTTCTTCGGCAAGTGACAGTGATTTTAACTGAATAAAACTGAGCCATTTTTTAAAATTTATTTCGTCTATTTCGTCCAAACGGTCATGTACTTCGGTCCCTTAAGTTCCCTCTTTTTGATGATATAATCGGTATTATAATCACTGTTTGAATCACTGGTTTAATTCTTGTTTGCTCCATTTTTGAAGTTATCATAAAGATATTGTTCTTGCTGCCTTGCAAAAAAATGACAGTTGCTTAAAAATGTGTAGGTTTTTATTAGGTGAGCTGTATCAACTTCAAACTTTCCCTCGGCTGAACAAACGTTTGTTCAGAATAAAATTTTTTAACTATTTCAGCTTTAGTGGTTATTGAGCTGTGAACCTTCAACCTTCAGTGAACGGTCTAAACGTTTGGTAAAATTTCTCAATATTTCAGTTATATTTTCTTGCTTCCGTAATGTTTTTTATCAGTTCAATTTGGTCTTCTGTCTTCGCTGACAACTGTAGGCGGACAATCTTTGTTTGTGAAAGCAAGCTGAATGAAACAATCCAATCTGATATGAATGCTAATCAGTTTTGGAATATCAGTTAGTAATTTCTGATTATTTACCAGAGTCTAGAATTTTTTCATGACAAAATTTCAAAGTTATTTGCATTTTTTTGCACAGCATGTCTGAAAATGTAACGTTTGCAAATTCTGGTCTTGCCACCATACTTTTTGCCACCAATCTTCATAAACCCAGCAATATAGTGAAAATTTCTTCTCTTTCATTTAGCGTCTGAGTCATATGCATTTTGTTTTTTTGTTAGGTACATGCATTTTTATGTATTCTATATGTATTTTCAATTGGAATGCATCATGAACATTTAATTTTTAGAGGAGCCCATTAATTCCTTATTATACCTTTGTTTGTTCGCTGTAAACTTTGATGCCTACTGCTTAACTGAACTTTCCTTTTGAAGTTGCTTTGCCGAACTAGTCGGCAAGTTATTTTGATAAAGCTAGTGCCTTTTTTGTTTTATAGTTTTCTACAAAAAAAAAAAATTCTCTGTAATTTTAGGGCTCTATTTAAAGTTTAAAAGTTGATTACTAATATAAATTTGGGTAAGTTGCTGGACAAAACTGAGTGAAGAAGATAAGCATCTGAGCAATTTTTGGGTGTTGAAGCATTGCCAAACTTTTTTTTCAAGATGTTCAAATTTACCTTCAAATAAAAAGCATATTCTGAACAAATTTTTAAAACTTTTAAGTTGTCAATGTGTTAAAAAACATATTGTTTTTTTTATTTTTAGATGAGCCTTTTGCACCGTTTAACGTATACGTCACTTATCATTAAAAATTGATAATTATCAAATTTTACGTTTGAAATGCGAAAGGCATATAAAAAGAAAATTTTTTCTCATTTAAGTATTTGTGGAAAAGTAAATGGTGTTGTGTAGCAGTACTGTTAAATATGACAATGGGATAAGCAGTAAAGAATTCTTGTAAGAATAATCTGTGTATGCCGCAGTTTGTAAAAGGTAAGAAATAGCGCCTGGTTTAGCTAACACCGTGACTCGATCGTTGGATATGAGTCGCTCTTTCCTGAAAGAAACTTTTTTTGATGAACTATTCGTTTGAGATTTTTTTCCATTTCACCTACTGGTTTTCAAACCATTCTCCCACAATTTACTTACAGTCAATACCATTCTCCCACAATTTACTTACAGCCAATAAGAATGCAACAAACCTCGCCGTCTTTGTTGTAAAGGATTGTTTGGACGTTGCTGCCGGTGCCAAACGAATCTTCTCCATCAAACACAAGTTGTTCTGGAGGCTCGTGCTTCCCTTGGCCTCGAGCCCAGATCTGCAAAAGAGCATTTGATGACTTCAGGAAAAAAATGTAAATTTTTGATGTATTTCACTGCAGTAGAAAGGTCAACAACTGAACTCCCTTGTTTCTGACGAAATTAGTAGCTACGAGATATTTTGTTTTATTATTCAACTTACCTTAACGTGTTTGCTGGGTTTGAGCACAAATTCTTTCGGTAAGGTGTAGATGATTTCTTTCTTTCCATCAATCTTTCGCTTGAGTTTCCATTCACCAATTGGCTCTTCCTTAGATCGATGGGTATTTTCGAGGACAATGTATTTCCCATCAGGAGCGGTTTCTTGGATGGAAACGTTGCCTTTTGCTGATCGAGTATACGAAGTTCGAGATGACGTTTCTCCTTTCATTATTCTAATCTGCTCTAAAATTATGGCCCTCTAACTTCAGTTGCACTTAAAGTTTGTGAACCAGATATGTTTTCAGATAAATAGGCTGACATTTGTCAAAAAAATTTTTTTTGAATAAATATAGAAAGCATTAGTGGAAGTGGGAGACTTAATTAATACAATGCACACATTAATTTTTGCACCTTTGAAATTATCCATCTGAAATGCGTCACTAATTTCTATTCAACTCAAACCCAAAATAGTCGTTAAATTTTCTGACAGTTAACCCCCAGACGACAACACAGGGAATGGCAGCAACTTTGTTCAAAAACCCAACTAAATAGTACGCATAACAAAAACCGGATTTTTCAAATGGTTCAATGGTCGCCCTCTAACTGTTTTTTGAGTTTTTTTATTTGGCGTTAAGAACTTACCATTATCGGCAGCTTCCGTCAAACCAGTGGTCTTGACAACTTGTTCAACAAGCTGTTTAAGACCCGGCCCATCTCCTTCGCCTTCTAACATCTTTCGATAAATTGCAATTTCGGCATCCAAAGTCTAAAATATTCTTGCTGTTTCAGGAGACGTTTTTTTGACTGGTACGATGGTCATCTTTCATATTGAAATGGATACTGTAAACGTTGTAACCTGTTTAGTGTCAAGCAACATCTGTAGTTCAACCATTAATGCTTGACATTCGTCACGCATTTTTCTAATTTGGGCGTCACGGTCGTTTAGAGCAGCTTCATATGATCGTTGATCGTCTTCAAGTTGGAAGTTCAGCTCTTGTATTTGCTTCTCCAGAAGCGAATTCTATAAGCAGCTTTCAACTATTAAAATAGTTTACCCCAATTGTAGTATATGACATAATGCACCAATGAAAGTGCTTACGCGTCCTTCAAGATCCGAAAGCTTTCCACGAAGGTCTCCAAGTTGAGTACGAAGACGTTTAACTTCTTCCTTTTGATACCCATGTTCAATATGTTGGCGAGCGGATTGAGTTTGAATTTCTTGTACTTTGAGCTTGTACCAAGATTCCATGTCATTACGATTGGCATTCGACAGCTGTAGCATGCATTATTATAGCTATTATCTTTACAACATTACAGTTCCCACTTTCATGCTTGCATTAAGTCCTATTTATCGATTTTCAATTTTCCATGAAACTTTCCTCCACTTCCTTATTTGTCAAATTCTTAAGTTTAATAACCAATAAAACTAGTTCACCTGGTCGTATTCATTACGAATGTCGCGAATAGCTGAGGAGAGTTCGTTTTTGAAGAATTCACGGTTCTCACTCGTTGTGTCTCTAGCAGCCATTGCTTGAAGATCACGAATTTCCTGGTCGAAGACACGTCGGTTGAAATCAATTTCTTCTTGTAAAGTCTGCACCTGATTCTGCATATCAATACGGTTCAGAGTTTCTTGGTCGAGATCCTAAAATTAAGTCCTTGGAAATGAATTATTTGTTCAGCGTGTTTTAACTGAGTGCATGGGTGAAGATCAGTATACATCTTTACCGTACGAGCGCGTTGTAATTCACTCATGAGATTTTGATTCTCCCTCTTGATGCGAGAAATTTCTTCTTCGAGCAGGCCGATGCGTCTCTTGAGATAAAGTATTTCAGCTTCAATAGTTGAGAGAGTCTTTAGAAGGTCGTCGATTTTTTCGCGATCCTCAGTGCGACCACTGAGGGCGTCGTCAAGTCTAAATTTAACTTTTTATCGCTTATTTTTTTACACTCTTTTCTTTTCTCCAGCAAATAAGATAAGGTTTTCCTGACTGCATCTACTGGTTATTAAAACTCTAACCTCTTACGGTATTCATCAATTTCAACTTGAAGTTTTTTTACTTGGTCTTCAAGCTCTTCACGCTGTTTGTTAGTGTCTGCGACTACCTTATTAGCCTCCTGAAATCGGTGAACAGTTATGTCTTCATGTTATTCCATGGTTTATTGCTTGTTTTTCAAGTTTCATGCTATTTTTGCTTTAGATTTAAACTGCTTGAATTTGGTTGGGAATATGCACTATGACTGTTGTTGAGAAATAGGGTATTTAAAAACTGACGGTAAGTTCAGCATCATGCATGGCTCGGATGCTTGATGTGTCTTTACCCCATCGTCCACGAAGCATTTCCAAATCAGCTGTGAGTTTACGGTTTTGAGCTTCTAAGAAGCGTACCTAAACAAAGTCTTCTTAGACTTGAACAATCCCTTTAAAGTAAATTTCGCTTAAACTGTTTAAAAAAAGGCAAATTTTTTCAAAATGATGTTTTTGTTCAAAAAGATATGAAATTTCAGACTTTTTCAATATAGTCAGCCAGACGATCATTTAAATCACTCATTTCCTTCTTTTCACGTTCACGGGCATCACGGATTGTAGACGCAGCATTTTGTCCAAACGGTGACATACCACTAGTCATTGATGATGATGTCATTTCGGTGACCACTTTGACAACTCTATTTCCAGATGCTTAAATAGAAGTGTTATTTTTAATAAGTACAAATAAACTGACAAATAAACAAAAAAATTTTAAACAATTCCAAAAAAATAATAATAGAAGAGAGGAAGGAGCAAAAAAAAAAGACAGGCTTTGAAAAAAAAGAAAAACAATTCAAGGAAGGAAAATGGTAATAATGCTGCCTATCAGTTAGGCATGTTTGCCTCAATTATTTGCTATATACCTCTTTTTGAAAATAAAAAGCCTTTTCAACCAACACTTAGCTTTTTTCTTTCATCCTTTCACTTTTTTTTCTCTTTCTTTCACTCCTTTTTTTTTTTTATACATTGATTATTTTTGCGAAAAAAAACGGGCAGAAAAAAAACCGCTGATGGGGAAAAAGAAACAAAATTGCATAAATAAGATTTTTGAAGAATCAATATTCACACAAACTGAACCACACACACACACACATATGCATCTCTGATAGTTCAAAAACAACTAAAGATGGGCAAAAAAGCTAAAAAACGGGGAAAAAGATGAACAAGCATTAGAGACAATGATTGCTGTAGGTAACAGCTTTAAATGGATCATTGGCTGATACTGATAGCCTGGTAAATTTGAAGGGAGTGTAAAAAATTTCTGCTTACGAGTAGAGCTTGTTGTTGTGGTAATACCAGTCCGATTGAAGCCCGGTCTTGCGGTTATGGTGCTGCGATACTCGGCCATTGCCTCTTATGTCTTTATATGGCTGAAAAAAAAATCGAATTTTGAAGCAATC